AAATTCTATATTTTGGAAATTTTGCATGAAATCTGTCAACCACGTTGTCATGGTCGAGGTTGCTTCACCTATCACGATGTATTCCAACCATCATGAGGCTATCTAAATGAGCATTTGTCATAACAGAAAGCAAATTATTTTAAATTAGTCTCATTGAATTATTATTATTATTATTATTATTATTATTATTATTATTATTATTATTATTATTATTATTATTATTATTATTATTATTGTTGTGATGAAAAGTTAACACAAACGATATGGTGGCTAAACGAATATTACATGTAAATATTTTTTTTTATTTGTTTGTTCCCCGACAAAATTTATCGTCTTCCCCGACAGGGCTATAGCCCCCCCCCCCTCTGGCGCCACCCCTGATCAGTATCATCGTTACCATCGCCATTGTTATCGCAATCGTCATCATCATTAACATCTTCCTCATCATCATCAACATCAACATCATCATCACTATCACTACCGCTACCTCCACCTGCTCTGACGTGTTCTTCCACCTTTGCTAGTCTAGACCTAGGTATTAACATAAGCCTATTTCAGTGTAGACCTTGTTTTATTTTCGTTTGTAAATGAAAACAAATTACGGTACACTTTGTTAATTTATACTATTTTTATGACTGTACACGTTCTATACGCCTATATTTTCCTGGTATTTGACGGTAAAACAAAAAAGTTAGTTTTCACGTTTTGTTTGTTTTTTTTTTTATTTTTGAAATAACAGTGGACAATAAAAGCCTATTGCACGACTCAAACGGTACCAATACTGCTTCTGAATTTTGCGTGCACCCTCCAAAATCCCAATCATCCCATCGTTATATACGTGAGAAGTGTTTTAGTTTCACTTAAACTTACCTTTGTGTGCCGCATTGTTTGGCTATAAATCGTTTATCATCATCTTGTTAATCAAGATAAAGCGATTCCGAAGCAATTTGTCTAGATGGCGCCTACACAATTATAATATTGTTGTAAAATACTATAATATATGTTATAAAATAAGTATAGCCTATATACTGTCTCTTATACACATCTAGATGTGTATAAGAGACAGCTTCATATCTGGTCAAACCAAAATAGTAGGCTAGACTTAGTATATTACTGGCTTACTATAACATTCCCGCAACTCGTATTTGAAACTGTACATTTAATTCCTGGCGCTGCCCCTGGTGCGTAGATACCCCTAAGTAAGAAAGAAATCACCTATCATCCTACTAATTCGCCAGCTAGTTCAACTCACTTAATCATCGAGCCCTCGCATTAAATATTCGTCCCCCATTTCAATAATCTTAGACAGGCCTACGCCACTGCACTCTGTATGTGC